GAGTGACACCTAATGTAAATTAGCGATGTCATTGAATTTACTTTTGTATTTAAACGAGCAAAAATCTTTTCAACATCTGTTCTTTTCTCTTCGTACAATTGTATTTATGCTAAATTAGTACTTCTACTTTTTCTTTTCTTGACTTTGAATGAAATATACATACAACCTAGCATACATTAGCAGAGGATTCTATGTATACAAAATGTATTTTATGTTGACCACTAAACTGTATGTTCAAAATGGCGCTGCTGTCACATTTTACACTGTCTACTGAAATTGAATGAAAATATATGCAAACCGTAAATGGTAAGACGGACAAAATGTTGTCCCTATGTTCGAATGTCCGAACATTTCTCGGATCAGTCCAAAGAGTTCATTTCGGGCAGGCGAACTTACGGACAAAAAGACACTTTTTTTGTCCGTCCGTGTCCGTTGACACCTTTACTGAAATGCATAACCAAAATGTAATGTTGCTGTTTGTAGCGTCGCCACAATACTTAACACAAACAACTAAAACTCACGGTCATCAGATTTTGCGTATATACGCTGGAAATAAATTCGATGATAAATTCAGGCGGCGCTGTTAACATATTTGCCCCGAATGGTAATTGCAATGTTTTGCAAACCACGTTTTTTTGGGTTGTTGTTGATATTATTGATGCTGGTTGTGTCCATACTGTTTAAATATTTCGGTAGATGTGAATGCTGGCTATATGCAAGTTTACAAGTATTCCAATTGCGGTGAAACTTTCTCTCATTTACCAATTTCTAGCTCAAGTATAAAAATTATAGTCCCACATGTTATGGGGCAATAATGAAATGCCAAGCGTGCTTATTCATGTGTGAAAAAGAAACTGGGTTAACAAAAAAAAAACAACCACCATGCCAATTCGAATAATTATAATATTTTATGAAAGTTTATTTTACATATACTCGTACGACGAAAATGAGCAAAAGAAATGGAATTTCAATTTAAAATTTTGTAGAGTTGACATCAACAATAATGACAAAAAATATAGAAAATAACGTATAAAAAAACGACAAAAATGACACTTATTTTATGGTATATATTTATTCAAGCATGCATTTGAGTTCTCGTTGAGAGTTGGTATGACACCTGAATAGACGCATGCAAAACATCTGTCATAGTGTTGAGATATGTTGAACGTGATCCGCGAAAATGTGCTCCAGCTCACCCTCTCTCTCTCTCTTTCTCTCTCTCTCTCTCTTTGACACACACACACACGCCAACAACAAACTATAACAACGGCGGCAAACAATTTGCAATGAATGCAAATGTACTCGAATGAAAATGGAAATGAAAAAAAAAGAAGTTGCACGGCAACTGTGTATGACACCCGCATGAGCAATCCAAAACTAAGATGAAAATTTTGAGCGTAAACAACCAGCAAAGGCACACACACACAGTCATTTGATACGCGCCTGGGCTCTCAGCCATAACAATAATGTTCATCGCTCACTGCCCACGAACTGAAAATGGGCAAATACGCAATTCATGCGTGCGATCCAAATGCGAGAAGCGAAATTATTCAACGGTGACTCATAATTAAAACCAATCGCATATAAATTTTCATATCAACCGACGTGGCCATTAAAAATGTACCGAATGATAATTAAAGCCGACGTGCTTGGATATTAATATACACAACTATCTTAAGAATGCTTCGTATAAATATCAGTATAATTAAAGTTGGCATTTGGACATGAATTAAATGAGGTTGAGTCTCAGAGTCAAATAAATTGCTCCCAAATGATGTGCAAAAAATCACCAGTCTGTTTTGCCAACCCAAAGAGGCAGATTGTATGTATGTATGTATGCATGTGTTGGGTGTAATGTATTGCAATCACATTCGATTATTCTTTATCAAAACAATCAAATTGTTATATTCAGTCATGTCCCAAGTATATAAATATTTGGATTGCTGTAATTTAAAATCATATAAAAAAACGGTCGGTTTTTTCAGTGTCGTTCTCTCTATACATATAATAATATCCTGAGTTGATTTGTGTGCAAAAATCCGTTTTCTTTTTCATCTTCATCTTCCAGCAGCACAGTTTATTACATATAAATCAACGGTTGCATGACGTTTCAGTTTAATAATAATGATTCAAGTTTGAAACACACTTACGCTTGATGACATGAAAATGTTGATAAATATGAACGGGATAGGATAATCCAATAAGAGTACAAAACATACACATACATATAATACGCTAAATCATAATGCCGTAGAGCTTTAATGTCAATTTAAATAACGCATTCTCTTTCTATCATTCATTCTGTACATATAACTCTCAACTTACCAAATAAAATATAAAAGAGCGTTATGAATTTTCGAGGCGAATGTACTTTTAACGGGTTTCCGTTTATTGCATAAAATTTTCCCGCAAGCACAAGCAAAAACCATTGCACTCTGCAAATGGAATTTGATCGACAATAATATGTAATGTGTTACTTTTCTTCTCTCTATCCTCTCTGCCCGATAAAATGGACGAATGGCCAAGCAACAATAGTTGACACAATTTATACGTTGTATAGATTTTCTGTGGTTAATCTTTATTTCTGTTGTATTTATATATATCGGCGGTTGTTTTACAAAAGTTAATAATGCATTTAATTAAAATGAATTTATCGCATCGCAGTCATTTGTAAGAGAGAGAAGAAGAAAAATAAAATACTAGACAAACTTTACAATTTCTGTGTATTCATTTGTTCATGTAAAACATGTCGTGTATTTTCCAGTAATTTGCACACGCAATATGCAATTCCCAGTGCGCTACAAATTGTGCGAGTGTGCGCGTCGTTGTTCATTTGAAATGACTTTCACACAAAAGTTTTTGTGTATTGATTTATCTTTTGAATTTTAGATCAATTCCCATAGAACGTATTAAAAATGACTCAAGCGAAATTTCAAAATTGAACGCTTACTGTGCGCTCACACCGTTATATGACGAGATAACGAATGTAAATATTGAACTTTTGGATGGAACAATACATAATCCATAAAATCAACTTTGGAGTATATATATATGGAACAATGACAACCTTCGTACCGTGCATATATAAAAGATATATATATTTATATTTAACAACCGTTTGTTTGATAAAACAACAACAAAATCCATGGGGATATTTCTGTGGGTTATAGAATTCCTACCACTATGTATAGATCGTGTTTAGCATCAATAATTTTCTACCTGTATTTTTGCATTTTAAATAGTCAACACACTCACAATTCAAGAGTAGACACTTGACGATGTGCACATGAAAACATGTAAAGAGTTTTTCAGCATATTTTAAAGAAACAAACGTTGCTTTTTCTTTTGTAAATACTGCATTTTTTCAATACAAGACCAAATTGGAGCGGAGAATCGCAAGTCATTTTATTGAAACATTTCTCAAACAGTTATATTGATCTATATGGAAAAAAAGTGCAGTTGGTTTGAGATGTAAATTGTTCATGAAAGCTCTTAATTTATTATTGGTGTGCGTGTACTTTATTAAATTAGCACATGACTGTCATTTCAAAAATAGCATCCACGCTTACTGATTGAAAATCAATGAAATGATTCGTTACTTCAATGATTACTCGACATTCTAATTTGTAAACGACATTTGTCATATCAGTTATGTTTAAAATTTATGTAATAATTTTGGAAAATCTGATGAGACAGGAAAATGGAATAAGAAGACTGAAATAAGAACCGAATTGTGTCTACATATATAATATTGATTCACGACATTATCTACATCAAACTTGAACATTTCGCCTTTATTTCATAAAATATTGCATTTAATAGAAATAGAACCGATAAATTAGTCTTATGCAAATTGTAAAATGTTGTATGCAATAGTAATAAAATCGAAGTTTTGTCGTCGAAAACACACTACTGTATGGGTGTGTGTTCGTGTGTCGTTGAATCGAATGACAGTTTCGGAAAATCTGTGGAATAATAATCAGCAATAATAATAATAGATGCTGAATGTGATATGCATCACAAATATCGTGAGTGTATGTGTTCACGTTTGATTCGCATTGAACACATACAAATATTGAAAGCGAAAAAAAAAGAATTCGAAATCGAACCAGAAGAGTTTTGCCGACAGAGAAAGTTGCACTGGTACACAAAAAAAAATTCAAACACTCGCCATGGATGTTGAATGTGTGTTTCAATCTACACGAATTCAATTTGAAACGACACGCAGCAAAGACTGAACTTATCAGATAAGTTCGGGAAATTGACGTGAAACGGAAAATATAATTTTGATTTACCACGAATTGAAAATGTATTTTTTCTTTCATTTGCTTGCTTGATTCTATTCGTTTGCCATTTCGTTCATTTCGTGTGCAGTAATGCCATTTAATTGATAATACTTAGAAATGATATTTGACTTTTTGCATGAATGCATTCGATTGCATCTCCGTTGCGAGAACAGACATTTCGAGAAGGTTTATATACAATTAGATAAAATGTTCATCGAATTTGGCAAGTGAGAAAAATGAGATATTCTCCTTAAAAACACACATACACACATTTTCACCATTACTTTCAGAAATGGCTTCTTAAAGTTTACGAACGAACAAGCAAAACCGAAAATCAAACGATCAACGATATATATATATTGCATCGAATTGCATTTGGACAAGTCGATTATTCGATTTTTGTTACTGTTGGAAGCGAAAGCTTCTTGCTTAATTTAGCTTGGCAAAACTCAATCGAGCGTCAATAATCAAATAGACCAATCTCTCATTCGATTTTGGGTGTGTGTGGCATCATTACATTGCGCGACAAATAAAATCGAACAATATGATTTCGATAACAAGCAAGCTACATATTGAATCACTCAATTGAATCGAAATGGAAAATTGAACGCGAAATGTTTAAGGCAATGCTGTGTAATTCAATCGAGCATAATTATTATAAAATGTCTCGCATGTAACTGTATCCAAGTATTTGTATATTGGAAAACTACTTACCCCATAGTTCCATTGGAGAATGCCTTCAGCTCACGATTCAGGGTTGACTTAACATTGTTGTCCGAATAGAGGCCGATCGGTGAATTAAATTGTTTGTGAACTAATTTTCGTTGAACGGTTGCCATTCTCGATTGTTATTTTTTAACACTTCGTTGTTGATTTCTCTAGTATATAGCAAACAAAAAATGAAAGCGATTCGAAATAAACTCAATTCAATGAATTACTACACACGACCATTGCAGAAGAAAGGGGAAGAAGTCATCAATGAAGATTGGAGTAAGACAAAAAATGTTATTATTAACCCTCTAATGCATTAATTTTTTTTCGACATAAGACTTATTTTCCTATGATTGTTTTGGTTTATAATTCCTTAAAAAAATAATCGATATTCAAAAAATCGCATGGTTTTCTCAAAAAATGCTATTGACAAAATTCGAGAACAATCAAAACCATTGTTTAAACTGCAGTAAAACTGCTATAAACAAAGAAAATGATAATTTTTTTTATCAAATTTCTGTTTTCGAGTACAACCGTGTTTATAATTAAACAACCGATTTACATCCAGTTGTCAAATGACCGGAAAATGAAAGCCCTACTGAATGTATTTTAATTCATAAATAAAATCTTTTTTTTTTAATTATATATTTTAGACAATAATTTGTACACCATGCCTAAAGGCAGGGCTATGCACTAGAGGGTTAAGAAAAAAAAGAAACAGGAAGGAATTTGTTTGTCGTGTGCGTGTAATTGAAAAGTGAAAAAAATTGAAGAAAAACAATGTAATTACAATAAATCAAATTCTATCGCGTTAGAATTAAACTAAGATCTACTTGAAATTATTCGTTGTCGAGACGTTCGTTTTCTGCAAAAAAAAAGAGAAGAAAAAAACCAATGTTCATTAATAATGTATCGCTTTTGATTCGTTTCATTCATTATTTTGAATTTAAAGCAGTGCATTGAATTTGAAATAATAACAATTATTTTTTGAATTTTTTACACGTTAAAAAACTGCGTCACAGATTTTCGTCATTTTTTTTTTGTATTTCAATACAATTGTAATGCTCGAAGTGCTCTTTTTTCCGTCGCTCACGTAGAGCGAAAATGTTCTTTGTTGTATATTTTTTTTTATTTTGATATAAAAATAAATTTTTGGAATATTTGACAAGCATAATTATTAATGCAGTAAATCAAAAAAAAATTTGCATCCTGTTGGATGATTGTTGCAGTATGCTTTACGTTCTTCAATTTATGACGAACACTTCATTTGTGTATATTTATATGCACTTCAACTTGCCCATTCTCCTGCCACCTGAAAAACGAATATATTTGTTCGGATCATGTGAAGGACGTGGTGCAAGTATACCCATTCGGAAAGCGCATTTATGCATTTTGCATTTTTGTTCTGTTGCACTGCATATGCAGATGAGTGAACAGTTGATGCTGTTGCTGCTGCTTTGTTGTTGTTTTTTTTTTTATTTCTTTATTTGAATGCGCGTCTATTTTTTTTTATTTCGATAACAAAAAATTATTTAAATTTAAATAATGTATGCTTTTTTGTTAGCTCCCAGTGCACTTCTCTCTTTATCTATATGTGGAAGCCATAACAGATTCGAATAATTTTTCACTCCGATTTCGAATTGGTTGTTTGACTGTCGTGTTATTCTTTCATTCGCGAAGGGTAATCTCCACATGGAATATGAACGATGAGCTGATACATCTATGAAAATGTGTGTGATGCAATAGCATCCATGATCCACTCATATGAGATGCGACAAAAGTTCTTCTTGCTCGCTCGCTCTCTGTATCGCACAGTATCGCATTCCGAATGAAGCACGTTGTATGCGATCACGTTGATTATGTAAAATATTTTTTGTAAGCTGTCAGATGGAATATTTATTAATTCATATTCATTTAACAGAAAAATGTGCGTTTTCTCTCTCTCTCTATCTCTATGCTTTTCTCGGAAGTGAACTGAAAATGGAAGAGACCTGAGCGCAATGATGTCAAAAACGTAAAAAGTGCATCGTTAATCTCATTCGCTGTGATGCGGCATAGGCCATAATGAGCGATGCAGAGTTACTGGAATGCACAATCACTGGCAATCACAATGAGCACACACACACACACATCATACCGGAGAAAAATCGTATAAAATGAGAAATGATGTACATTGAACGACAGATAAATATAGGCTATACGGCGGCGGCTATAGCATTTAGTCTCGGCGTTAACAAAACGTTGGTTGGTCTGTTGATTGCTGGGTTGGTTGGTTGATTTTGGACGTCGTCGCATGTTGCGTTTCGTTGTTTATTCGTCTCAGACCCAGCAACTCATCATATTTGGATTTTACATGTTATGAAACCTGATATGGATTCAAAATCATTCAACATTGATACGCGCAGACCAGACCGGAGATAGACATACACACTGAGCCCCGAACTCATCGGAGTGAAAATGAATGAACCGCATAAAACATGAGTAGCCAAATGCTTGACGAATAAAATACCACCGAGAGATAGTGTGTTGGAACGGGGAAAGAAAAAAAAAGTGCACGTACGGCAACAACAGCAACAACACAATTGGATTTAAAATTAAACATACGAGAGAGAAAGAGAAAAAAAACGACAACCACGTCAAGCTTGCATATGCGAATATGGAAGAACACGAAAGGAAGAGATCGCTCGCGAGAGCGAACGAGTGAGAAGAAAAAAAAACTTGACGTTTTCCGTTGATAAATGATTGTTCTGTCGCGAAGTGCTATTGTTTTACAGCTTTTTATCTGTCATATACATTCATTTCTTCATTTACGAAAGTGATGAATGTATTTTTGCGCATAGTGTTTTCATATATATATATATTCTGACTGAACGTATTATTTTGCCATTCAAAACGTTTGCCCATTTTTTTCTCGCTCGTTTCCAACCCATTCACCATTTTAAATATGAATGTTTGGCGCGCGCTTTTTTCTCTCTTCATAGTGTTACCAACACTGTATTGAGTCCAATGGCTAAACAAAAAACATCGTTTAAATGCATCATTTTCAGTGGTTCTCCTGATGATTTCAATCACAACAACAACAATGTCAACGGAAAAAATAACGAGTTTGTTCTCAGTCGTTGTGATTGTTGATTGATATCAACCATCAAATAGATCCAACTTTAAGCGCGAAAAAATCTATCTTTTCATTCATCATTTTTGACTACGTGTTGATTAGCTGAATCCGCAAAAAACAGGTTTACCGCGCATTTTATTTCGAATTGCATTAAGATGCTTCCACAAAAAACTTAGCCAATCATAACGATCACAATTTTCAATCGATATACCAATTTCAATAGCCTTTATTGCATTGTATTACATAAATGGTTTGAAAAAATGCTGAACTCATCCACACACACACAAAAAAAAAACATAACCTTCTCACAGAGCCGGGGAAGATGTGCAAGTAACGGCTTAATTGGCTTAAAGCATTCAATAAATTACTTTGCTTGTAGCGATGAACGATTATCATATCAATGAAAATCTCTCGATTGTTCCATTTTTGCACATTCGGCTTTCGTTTTTCATTTTTAAAATAGCCATCTCGGCTACCATCACTTTCATATAAAAAAAAGTGACTGATGGATTGAATTTTATTGAATTACATGCACGCGCACACATACATCTCTGTCAGGCATTTAGATATATAATAATCTCATCGGTATATTCTATAAGTTTTTTTTCGGTTCTGTTTTTATTACAAGGGTTGCGCTACGCTACAGTTTTTACCACACAACGAATGATTGCAATGACAAGAGTTTTACTATCATTGGACCTAGAAGACATGATATTAATCTTATTCTATTACATTATCTGCACTCCGTGTTCTATATATATATGAAACGTTATAACATTTGACGCTCCATTTGAGTTGGTTTTGAAATTTCTATTCATTTCTCTTCGATTCATCGCTAAATTCACCTGCATCGGGTGTCAATAACAGCTTAAATCTCTCTAGCCTAAGCGACAACTTCAGCACGATTCTTCACTCGCACAGGAAATAAATCAAACGGATTACTGATGCCGGCTGCTGTTACTGATAACGATGACGACTCAAAAAATAAGATCAATCAGCATTTGGTCTTGCAAATTTAATCATGTGTGTTCAGTGAAATAAAAAAAAAAATCACTATATTTCCGTCAAACTGAATGGATTGATGTGGTGGTGACGCATTAAGCTTTTCGTATGTTCAAAAGAAAAGCCTAATTGTTCTTACGATACATGAAATGATAAAACCACATTGAGATTTTTCGTATGGTACACATAGCTCACAAAAAAAAACACACACACTAGTGAACATACATATCCCGAAAGCGCGTCCACCATGAAAATAACTTATATATCGGTTGAAAGGGCCACGAATTTTGAATGTAATCCACAGCATTCAGCTGGAACATGGAATAAAAAACCGTTTGCTTCTGCTGTTGCGATAACGATTTGTCAACGATTGGCTCCGAATGAAATTGAAAACGAAGCGAAATCGTATGTGATTAATGTACTTTTAATTGTATTTTTGTGTCATGTCAACTCAGTGTATCGGAATGGGTCGCTTTATTTTGTTTGCGTATGTGTGTGGTTGAATTTTATTTTATTTCTTATGAAAGAAGCCGCCACCAGGCAAATATGATCCAATGAAAATCTTGTCTTCTCTTTACCACATTTGACTTCACATGTGCCACTTATGGATTTTATACTTCAAGCTCAGCTGAATATGATGTGTATTTCGTACGTGACGCCAATACTTAAATAATCGGTTTTTTTTAAAAAAATATTCGTCGTTTCAACGAATTTCTGTTCGGTTTCCCTATTCTTTTGTTTTAGTTGATTCCCTATGTCTCGATACTTTTCCATTCTGACCTTTTTTTCTATTATTTATTCTTTTTTTATGCTGCTCTCAATTCAGCATGACAAGAAAAAAAATGCTGCTCGCCAAAATTACATCAAAACGAACATTTTTTTCGCCATATGAATTTGAAATGGTAAAAATAGACACAGATAAAAATCTCTTTTTTTCTTAATATTTTATAACATTTCGTGTTGAATTGATTGTGTCAGTTGTGTGTCTATATGTTGTTAATATAACATCGTACGTGGCCATCTTTCTGTGTTCGATAATCGATGGTCTGATCTCTCAACAGTCGAAAAATTGTCAAATGAACTATGAGAATCAAATTTTTTTTGACCAGTTTTTTCATTTTGACACAGCGGCAGATCTGAAACGATCATTTTTCGTATCGACCAAATTGAAATATATTCGAATGAAGTAAACACAATAACCACAAATGTCTACGAACTAAACGGATTTTTTTTCTTCTTTTAAATTACATTCGACTATATAAGAATGAGATACAAAGTGAAATCTCAGCGAAATCTCCCTGACTAATGAAATTATTGTTATTTCGACTGGAATCATCGGTATACGGTTACGGTCGTCATCAGCATTTCCGTTTGTTGAAACACACGCTTGCAAAAATACCGAGAGCAAACAATGAAAATATTTAAAATATTTCAATTAACCTTGTTGCTTACATGGAGCGCATCTAGACACACACACATACACACACAGCACATCCTACATGGGATGAAATTCAATTCAAAATGATGATATGATAGGACTATAATGTTCTGTATGCTCGTACAAAACAAAGAATACAATGTATTGTTAGTTGGCTGGTGTGCTGTTTGTAAGGCAGCACATTTCCCTTTTAGCTTCCAGCTTTCGGCGCGGCTTAGTTCACTTAGCCTTCGCTTTTCTTTTTATGTTTTATCATCGTTCGTTTCATGCGTTTTCTCTTTTTCAATTTCAGTAATGCCAATGCTGTGTA